CCACATAAATGCTGGCATATATGTGGTTCTCACCAGATGGAATATACAGGAATCAGATCAACTACATCTGTGCAAAGAGGCAATGGAAAAGCTCAGTATCTTCAGCCAAAACAAGGCCAGGAGCTGGCTGTGGGACAGACCATCAATTGCTCAAATACAAGTTCAAGTTGAAGCTGAAGACAATTAAAACAAGTCCACAAGAGCCAAAATATGACCTTAATTCTATGCCATTTGGGTTCAGAGACCATCTGAAGAGTAGATTTGACACATTGAATGCCAGTAACCGAAAACCAGATGAGTTGTGGGATGACATCAAGAACATCATCCATTAAGAAAGCAAAAGGTCATTAAAAAGACAGGAAAGGAAGAAAAGACCAAAATGGATGTCAGAAGAGACTCAGAAACTTGCTCACAAATGGAGAGTAGCTAAAGCAGATACAAGAAATGACAAGATAAAAAAAGAGCTGAAGAGATTTCCAAGAACAGCTTGAGAAGACAAAGTCAATTATTATAACGAAATGTGCAAAGACCTGGAGTTAGAAAACCAAAAGGGAAAAACACACTGAGGCATAGTAAATTACTTAGTGTGGCTTTTCTACCAATAAGTCTTTGTAAACTCCATGGTGGAATTGGCCATGAGCAACCAAGGAGCTTCTGATTGTTAGTTATCCACATGGGGTATTTTTGTAAGGAGCAACACAAAGTAATTTTCTGTGAAGTTCGCTCTTTCTCAGGTGCTTAGAATTCTGATGTTATGATTGGTTAGTTTGGTCACTCTGACAGGCTCTAAAGGAGGCAGAATTCTCTCTAATGGCTGAGAAGGACATGCTGCTGAAAAGAAACTTGCTCCTGAGAGACACGTCCTCCTGAGAGACACACACTCCTGAGAGACATGTGCTGCTGGGAAAGAGATGCAAGAGACACACATTGCTGAGAGAGAGACTGTGAGAATGTTGGCTGAGAGACAGCGGGCTGAGAACGACTGAGCATTTTTCCTGAACTTGAATTGAATCCTGGTGCTTCCCTAACAAACCCCATAATCTGTTAGTTCTGTGTAGCCACTACAGTGAATTATTGAACCCAGCAAAAAGGTGGTGAGTGCTGTGGGAGGAATGGTTGGTATCAGCGTTGGTGAAAGGGCTGCAGGGAGGCAGCATGTCTGGCCTCTCAGGAATAGGCCTTGGGCTACTGATGGTGATTCTGTCTTCCTCTTGTGTGGTTAGAGGAAGTAAGAAGATGTGGCCTCCTTGCTTCTTTAGTACACACTCAGTTTTTCTCAAGCTGAAAGAACTGAGGACAAAATCAAGCCTGGAGTTGCAATATTGAAAGATTCTAATAGGCAAAATATTGAATGATGCAGGAAACTTCAAAACATCAGATGGAAGGAATACATAGAGTCACTGTACCAAAAAGAATTGGTCGATGTTCATCTATTTCAGGAGGTGGCATATGATCAAGAACCAATGAAATTAAAGGAAGAGGTTGAAGCTGCACTGAAGGAATTGGTGAGAAAGAAGGCACCATTGACGGAATACCCATTGAGATGTTCCGACAAATAGATACCACGCTGGAGGCATGGTCTATCCTAATGTAATGGAGGCATTACTCATCTATCCCAAGAAATCTGGAAGACAGCTACCTGGCTAACCAACTGGAAGAGATCCATATTTGTACCAATTTCAAAGAAAGGTGATCTGACAGGGTGTGGAAATTATTAAACAATATCATTAATATCGTATGCAAGTAAATTTTTGCTGAAGATAATTAAAAAACAATTGTAGCAGTATATTGACAGGGAACTTCCAGAAATGGAAAGTAGGTTCAGAAGAGGAAGTGGAAAGAGGGATATTGTTGCTGATGTCAGATGGATCTTGGCTGAAAACAAAGAATACCAACCAGAAAGATGTTTACTTGTGTTTTATTGACTATGCAAAAGCATTCAACTATGTTGATCATAACAATTTATGGGTAACCTTGAGAAGAATGGGAATTCCACAACACTTAATTGTGCTCATGAGGAACCTGTACATAGACCAGGATGCTGCCATTTGAACAGAACAAGAGGATACTGCATGGTTCAAAATCAGGAAGGGTGTATATCAGGACTGTATCCTTTCACTATACTTATTCAATCTGTATGCTGAACAAATAATCTGGGAAGCTGAACTATATGAAGAAAAACACAGCATGAGGATTGGAGGAAGACTCATTAACAACCTGTGATATGCAGACGACACAACTTTGCTTGCTGAAATTGAAGATGACTTGAAGCAGTTACTGATGAAGATTAAGGACTACAGTCTGCAGTATGGATTGCACCTCAAAATAAAGAAAACAAAAATCCTCACAACTGGACTAATAAGCAGCATCACGATAAATGGAGAAAAGATTGAAGTTGTCAAAGATTTCATGTTACTTGATTCCACAGTCAACACCAATAGAAGCAGCAGTCAAGAAATCAGATGACATATTGCACTGGGCAAATGTGCTACAAAAGACCCTTTAAAATGCTGAAGAGCAAAGATATCTCTTTGAAGACTAAGGTGTGCCTAATCCAAGCCATGGTATTTTCATTTGCCTCACATGCATGCGAAAGCTGGACAATGAACAAGGAAGACTGAAGAAGAGTTGATGCTTTGGAGTTGTGGTGTTGGTGTAGAATAGCATAGTGCCTAAGGCATTTGACTGCTAACCAGAAGGCTGGTGGTTCAAACCCACCAGCCACTCCTCAGAAGGAAGGCTGGGCAATCTACTTCCATAGAGATATTGCCTCGGAAACCCAAGGAGGGGTCGTTTTGAGTCAGATCTGGCTGGACGGTAGTGTGTAAGTAGTGCATTATTTGATGAGGAGTAGATGGTTCAGGAGGGCTCTGAGTCATTATTAATAAAATGTTCTAAAATAGTAACAGTTGCTAGTGCATTGCTAGAATATCAGATATTTAAATTATAGATTTTTAAGACTATGCCTATATGATTTTAAAGCAATATTGACAAGAGAAAAAATATTGATTCCAATGATGGATGACTTAAATTGGCAGAAGTTCTTAATGATGCAGTCTGGGAAACTAGGATACATTTAATTGGGGTGTTTCATGGAACATGTAGGTAGATGAGAAATTATTGTCCCATAAGGGAGTGCCTGGAAACCTCCTTGGCATGGTGTGTCTGCTAGTTGGCTATGTGTATACTGGGGATTCCCAAATATTTTCTGGTAACAGAGGAGTCCATTCAGTTGTGGAGAGGGTAGGACCCAGTTCAGCAAATGCTCTCATTCTCTTGGGTGACTTATCATTGGTTTAGAGGTACCACCAAAGACCAAACCAAACCAAACCAAACTCACTGCCATTGAGTAATCCGGCTCATAGCGACCCCTCCTTGGGTTTCCGAGGCAGTCTTGCTGTCTTGCCCAACCTTCCTTCTGAGGAGTGGCTGGTGAGTTTGAACTGCCAGCCTTCTGGTTAGCAGTGCCTTAGGCACTATGCCACCAGAGCTCCCTGAGAGGTACCAAGGCAGGCAAAACATTGGAGTTAGTGATGGCTTTTGGAGTTGTCAATCTACAACCAAACATGCATGGGACACCATCCTGTGGTATGATTGTCAAACACAATCTTTTTTTTTTTTTTTTTAAATCTTAAATCCTCTTGTGGTAAATTTTGTGAATAAAAAGATAAATTGAGGACATGCTTTTCAAACTGTTAAAGCACTGCCATCCTTCTAGCGTCTTCATGGCTGAAACGATATTTCTGCTGTGGGATACAATCAGTCTTCTGTGATTGAAGGCTAGCTATTTTCCAGAGCTCTTCCTTGAAGCCCTGATACCTGGATTGCACATGAAATCTTGGACTTTGTGCCTGTGTTTATATTTCGGTTCCACTTGTTTACTTTTTTTTTTTTCTGGACTGCTCCTTCATGCCCTTTGCTTTATGGTGCTCCTTGTGGATTTAAATCCAAGTTGCACCATAAAGCTTATTTATAGCACATTCTTTGTTTCATTTGATGTTCCTGTCTCCACTGCTATGGCAGTTGGTTGAAAATTTGTCAGCAACTTTGCTGCTGGGATTTGTTTGTTTATTTGCTTCAGTAGTAAACCAGCTATCCTCGTGATGCAGATGGAATTCCTTCCTAACATGTGAACTTGACAACTGCTTTTGGTTTGGGTCTCTCATTAATCAAAACTGGAGCGTAGAACCACCGCAAATGAATTGAGCGTTGTAGAGTTTGACTTTATTTCTAGTTTAGCACGTATGCCTTGTCTCATTTCCCCCAACAACGTCCCTCCTTAAATGAGGCATATTTCCTCATCTCATTTTGCAACACTGGAGGGAATTCAGAAAGCAGGAGGTTTACCAAAAAAGATGGATAGCTTTGGAGAGCAAACTGATAAATTCTGGCCTGTTTTCTACAGGGTAGGTTTCTATGTTTCTACTCAGGGGTCCCCGGCTCAATCCCCAAACATTTTCGTTTTTCCTTTTTATCGCAGATAAGATTCTGAGAGCCACAATGAGTGTCAGAACGCCTCATCCCATTCATCTCAGCCGAACCTCCGTTTCCTTCCCGCCCATAGGTAGCGGCTACTACAGTTCCCGCTAAGCACCAAGAGTGCTGCAAAGAGCCAGGCCCTCACTTGTGCTCCGCCCTGGCGTGGGGGCATGCTGGGAGTTGTAGTTCAAGGGCGACTCCGGCTATGCCTTTTTCCTTATATTAGGCATTACCACATGGATGATGCTAATGCTCTGCCAGAGAAAGATCTCTTGTTTCGTAATCGAAGCTAAACACGACAGAGGAACGTCCTTCCCTGCGGTGCGCACAGCGTCCTTCCCGCGAGGCTGAGTCCCGCCCTTGTCCACACCCGTTCCCTTGACAGCTGGGCTCGCTCCGAGTGGCGGCCGCGGCCGGGAGCGCGCAGGCGCACCAGCACTTCGCCGCACTAGGCCCCGACTTAGGGCCCTGCGCGGGGGCGCGTACGTAGGCACGCAGCAGCGTCACGTGGGCGCCGAGGATCGCAGTGCGCGCGGCCGCGGCGGCGGGTGTGGGGTTGAGTCAGTTGTGAGACCCGGAGCTGCTGACCCACAGAGCAGCCGGACAGACAGGCGACAAATCAGCGGGCGGAAGCGAGCTCGGGGCCGTGAGCCTGGCCCCGTCCTCGAGTCGGTCCGCAGCCAGGCGCCCGCCGTCGTCCCCCGCCCCCACCAGCAAACCGCCGCCGCGGGCGCGCCCCCGTCCTGCGCTCCTCTCAGATGGCGTCCGCCTCCGGGGCCATGGCGAAGCACGAGCAGATCCTGGTCCTCGACCCGCCCACAGACCTCAAATTTAAAGGTAGGCAGGAAGAGGGCACCACCGACCCTCTGGAGGGCCAACGGGTTACTCTTCCCAGTGGCGCGCACTGTAGGTATTATGTGGAGCGCAGGGTGGGTGCTGAGGGAAATGTCGGCGGGCCTGACCCTCCCCCACGCGCAAGCACTTAAATTTCCAGGCTTCTTCCTCGTCGCCCTTCCTCCAATCTCCTCTCCCCTCCCGCCTGACACTCACTCTTCAGCGCGCGCGCGGGCGGTGGGCGGGGAGGCGGTCGAGGGCCGGGCCGGGACCTGGCGCCGCCGCCGCCATCTTGGCCCCGGGAGCGCCGCCTTGGTATTTTGTCTGTGGGCCTTTTCGCGGCATTGGGCGCCCCTGGCCCAGTTCTTGGTTACCGAGTGCCAACTGGCTTTAGCTTTGAGGGGCTAGTGGGTGGTGACCTTAAAGCGTGTGTTGTCGGATGTGATTGAAAGCGAGGACCCGGAGGTGGCGCATGCTGCATCGCCGCCTGCTTTTGGACTGTCAGGACTTGTGGGAGGCGAGCGAGTGTTGTTGCAGCTCCTTGGCTTGGTGCTGGAGGAGAACCATCCTGTCCCGGCCCTAGGAGGGAGCTGGGTGGGGTCAGATATTTTTAATTGAGTTCATAATTTGGCTGTTCTGTGTATCGAACGCCAGAGGTAGCCGTGAAGTCTCCTGGTTATCACTTACTTGGTTAGATTGGCCGGGGCTAAAGCGTTCTGCGTCAGCCTGAGTATTGATAGTACTAGATTAATAGTGGTAGATCTTCCTGTTCTCATGTGATATTTCAGTTTGCTGTCCACCTAGAGCAGACTTGACTTTTGTTCTTGTTTAGCATTTTAACTTAGTTTTTTTTGCTGCGGAATCTTCAGTGTTTGTGACTTGTCTTTAGGTTTGCAGATTCCCAACAAACTCCGAAAAGGCCAATAAGGTGTCACTAAGCTCTGGAACTTCGTTGACCTATTTTGTAGCAATATCTGTGATAAATTTACTAACTTCGTGATTCTTGAGGAATTTAGGTGCTGTTCGACCCGTTTGCTTTTCGATATGTAGTATACTTTAGCTAAGAGAATGAAATTGAATAGGCTTTTTATTGGTGGGGTTGGGTTGGGGTGGCGAGAATATGTAAAGACTCTGAAGATCTTGAAGAAAACCGGTTTCTTCCTATCTTAGTTAAACGTTAAGTAAATTATCTTTTGGAAGCTAACTTCTCTTGTATTTCAATTTCTGTAGCTATGGTGAGAACAATTTCTGTGGTATTCCAGTGTTAAAAGACAAAAATGACATCCTTTATTGCTGTTTAAGATTGAGTAGGAAAAAAAAAAGGATTGTTTTCCATAGGAAAATTTTCAAATACTATTAGTAATTTTTTTCTTTTAGTATCATACTTTGGTATTAAGAGAGTCGGATTGCATAAGTATTTTGCAAGCTTTTTAGTACATTTGCGTATTTCTTTCTATTGGAATCGTGAGCAGCTTGTTTGGTAAGGAGTTACTTTAAGGCAACTCTTACACATTTTGAAGTGCCATGAGTGCATTTTATTGTGGCAAGTTTAGATGTACTGCGTGATTTTACATAATTAGAGCTGGTGGAAAAATAACCTGGAGATTTTGAAATTACTTAACTCAAATAGCCATTGTTTTAATTTGAAGGAATTTTAATGTACACCTTTATGATAGTATTTCGTTTTTACCTTTTGAGAGCCTCAGTTTACAAAGGAAATTTCCTCTACTGCATAATCATGTGTATATTGCGGTTAGGAAATTAGAAGCCATTAAAATCAGTTTTAGGTCAGGAAACTCACTAGAGAAGTTGTGATGTTGCCATAGTAAGAAACTAATCATAGTGGAGAAGCAGATTTAAAAAAAAACAAAATCAAAACCGTGTACAACTTATCTATATACTTCACTTATTTTGAACATTGAAAATTTTAGCTGTGATTCAGAACTGTTTAGTTTGTGCTGTCAATGAAAGTAATTCACAAGACCCACTTTTTAAAAGTTTGGGCATCAATGATTATATTTTTGTTGTGGGATTTTTTTTTTTTTTTAAGCATTGAAAAGTATATTAAAGGGGTAAACATTCAGTTAGGCCATTTATTTAATGAACACTTAAGAATTTTGTGTCATTGCTGTACATGTAGTCCACTATTTACTTCCTATTAGAGTTGGGAACCACACTTCACTACCACTGTCTTTTTTTTTATTCTTAGCAATAGGTACTACATACAATATTGGAGCATGTAATTTTTGCTGCAGTTATCAGATACAATGTTTATTATCAGATGTAATGTTTCCAACCCCCAAAGACAAAGACTGGATTTATAAATCTTTATAAATCCAGATACTGATAATAAAAGACAATGAAAACTTTATTAAAAATTAAATGTCCGACTTAATGTCAAAACAAATTTAAAAAAGTAGTCGTCACTATGGAATCCCATTGTAAGTTGGGGACTACCCTGTATTTCATTAAAGGTATCTAACAGTGAGTTACTCATTCAACAGGTATCAATCTATATTTGAGGATTCAGTGGTAAGCAAAGTGGAGAAACTACTCACAGAGGTAGTTCATAATGTACTGAGGAATGCAAACAAACAGTAAAATGTGTTAGATTTGATCTTGCCCTTGAGGAATCCTAGGACTAAACCAAAAAAAAAAAAAAAAAACCTCATCGACTCATTGAGTCACTGCCATCGACTCATTGAGTCGATTCCAACCTACAGCGACCCCCTTTGGGTTTCTGAGGTGGTAAATCTTTATGGAAGTAGATAGCCCGGTCTTCCGCGGAGTGGCTGGTGGGTTTGAACTGCCAACGTTCTGGTTAGCAGTCAAATGCCTTAGGCACTATGCTACCAGAGCTCCCTTCCCAGGACTTGTTATGTGTCCTGGAGTCGGACCCGACTTATAGAGACCCCTCCTTGGGTTGCCAAGGCAGTATCACTACGGAAATAGATTGCCCAACCTTCCTTCCGAGGAGTGGCTGGTGGGTTTGAACCGCCAGCCTTCTGGTTAGCAGTCAGGTGCCTTAGGCACTATTCTACCAGAGCGCCTGTTTAGTAAGAGCAATTGTAAAAGGCACACATATGACAGGCTCAGACATCTATGAAGAAAGGAGTCCCCATTACTTTAGGAAGCCAGTTTTCAGTTGAGTGGGAAGTTGGAAAGAAGTTCAGTAAACTCAGTGATTTGAGAGGAGGATGGCTATCATATGCTTTAATGTCCAAAAGGTGGTGGTTTGCTTTGGTGTAAAAGTGAAGGTAATGGGTTGGGAGAGAGAGAAGGGGTATGATGAATCAGGAGGTGACTTTGGAGTCATTTGATTCCTTAATGTTGTGTTTTTAATCAAAGGAAAATAGTTTGTTTTGATGGAAACTTCTCTGCGTTCAAATGCACGGTTCCACACCAAGTAAGGAGACTGATACAGAAAAAACAGTCTACTTGGGCTTCTTAGTTTGATGATGATAATAAAATTAACAACACTGATTTGTCCTAAATCACCTGTAATTCTTAGTTTAAGTGAAAATCTATTAGAAGACAGTTTTACAAAGTTCTTTGCCATTTTATAGTAGGTTTATTTTAAATACTTTGATTCTGCATTTGACTAAGATAGTTTCTTTTGGAGTTACCTACCCATTTAATTATTATGAGATTGAGTGGTGAGTTTTCTGTTAGAGGCTTAACACAATTGTCTTGATATGAATTACCAGCTCTGTGCACAATTTTGGAGAAGCCAATACCAGTTTATTTCATTTTCCATATATTTCAACATTTTATTCAGTATTTTACTATATTACATTTGTATACAATTGTTAATGTATGAAAGGTGCTCTTACAATGGTGTAATAAATTCTGAAGTAAATCTTTTATTGAATAAGTAAAGAAAAGATACTTTCAAATTCTGTTTAAACACTGGCAGGGATTTGACTTAAAATCCAGATTTGAGATTTGGTATTGTATGTGAGAGAAAATTCATTTGTTACTAATTTTTTTTTCTTATTCTGTAATTTCTTACTGTATTTTTATTTTTCCTACTTATTAGCAGTTTTAGAGGAGATTGTGAGGAAGAAAGTTTAGAAAATGCTAAAATAAATTCTGAATATATCATTCCTCCTAATCAGGAGAGAGGAAAGTAGATCAGAATCAGTGTGTTGAAGGTGGCTCATAGCAATAACAAATTAGTAAAGAAAAATAAGTTCTTTTAGGGACCAAGGGCTCTATGATGTCAGTGTCAACCAGAGCATCTTTGAAAAGCAGCACATCTCTTAAGAAGCAGCACAAGTGAGAATTAGAATATCCCTGCTTTTGCTGGATATGTGGCCACTTTTTAGGTTTTTCCTGTTTCACAGTGGCTACACAAACCTCTGGGGGTGATTCTACCCCTCCCAAAAAAGCAAAACAAAAGGAACATGTACTTATTATCCCTCCATTCCTTAAAAGCTTGTAGTAACTCTTGAGTGCCTGCAGGATAAAAGTCGTAATTTTCTTAGTACAGCATATAAGCCCTTCTGTGATGGGCTGCTGCTTCTTTTAATACCTGTTCTTCTGTACACATCCATATTTTCTTCCCTGAGAAAGAAAAACCCTTCTCATACCCAAAATTATTTGTTCCTCCATTTTTGTTGGTGGAGGTAAAATTCCTTCTGGCATATATTTAGACCATGTTCCATCAGATATTTTTTACTCTCATGTCTTAAACCACTGACTTACAGAATTTAACATATAAACACACCAACGTCTTTCATTTCAACAAACAAACAAAATACTTCTTGATTCCCCAGTACCTAGCGTATGTCCCTTCCCGTCCTTCACTTCTTTTGCATTCAGAGTTGGAAATGTAGCCCATGTACACTGACTCCAGTTCCTCCTCTTTACTGGCTTGCTTCTCAGTCTACTGTATGTAGTCCTGTTTCTGTCCTCACTGCTTAGTAAAAAAACTGCTCTTAGTAAGATTTCCGGTGACTCGATTGCCAACTTCATGGATCATTTTTTAATTTCGTCTTATT